CCCCCCCATATAGACCTACTTCCACATTTTGCCAATGAAAACGTAGTATTTAGATCATGCCCTACTCCGAAAATATCAGCCCGAAAAACGGCTGGTATCTCGAGATAACAGATCCAAAGGTCATGCCTAGGGCATGACTTTCTCGTTTTTTTTACTCTGATACAAAAGGATAGCTTCGTCAAGACTCTTGAGCACAACTTCCATGAAGAAACGTCACCTCAGCATCCTCAGCATTATCATAAAGACAAGATTAATGTGTGTCCCAGTGACTGTGCTTCTGATCACAGCAAGACTAGGTCATTTATCGGGGGAAGCAGCAGCTACAGTACCGGACAACACTGAATTCCTGCAACCAACGGATTTGATGCAACCGGGACGTAAAAGGTGATGGGCAACCAAATTTCCTAAACTGTCACCCCACCCCCCAATCAACCTCTATTCATTTTAAAATACTAAAACCAATTACAAAATATTTTTCCACAAAAAAGAAAAATGTGAATTATTTAGCAGCTAGTTAAGTTGTTGAAGGCGCAGAAATGATAAATTTACCGTCCTTTGTTCTGGGACCTATGGGAATAAGGCCTGCCTTCACGAATCCGCAGGTGGCACCATCCGCCAAGCCTCTTCGACAATTTTTGTTATTAGCCGACGCCTTTCAGTTGCGTTTTCGCTAAAGTCATGCGTTGTGTGGTGCTGAACGTAGAGTTCACGACACGCGTGTTTAAACACACGCATCACTGAAACGTCCATGGGCTGAGCTAGTCCTGTAGCACCTGCTGGGATGAACTCCACGTCGGCCATTGCTTGCTGGAGCTGTTCTTGTACGATTCTCATCTTGTGGACTTTTAGGCTGTCGAGTAGAAGTAGACGGCAAAACGTCACCGATGGCGTCCATACCTACGAATAAGTATGTCGGTTAATAAAAATAGAAATAATATTTAAAACATCACTAAACTTACATTTTTTACCCATTAATGAAGCATAGTGCGCTCATCACAATACGCGTTCTTTTGGGTTGTGAGTACTACACGGTCAGCAATGTGATGCTCATTCTGCTATACTTCACAGTGAACCGGGCCCCCTTCGACACCATCAAAAACAATAAAGGCAAGCAGCTTGTCGCCGTTAGCTGACGCGCAAAGAAAAACGCTAGCCCGAAAAAGAATTCTCCGTCATCCCTTCAAATGCAATATGTTAAGACAAAATCAAAAAACAAATAGCGTAAGAATACATAAATACCTTGGACAACATCGACATCTCGCTCCCCACGGAAAGTAATTGTTGTTTCGGGTTCATGTCAATGAAAATCGACGTCTGGTCCATGTTGTAGAAATGATTGAGCTTCTCACTTCCTGTTTGGGCCTCCAACTTGTAGCGCATTGCGTGTCCTACCTGCAACTCAGAACGTTTGCGCTGTCCCTTGTGGGTAATTCGACGCACGGACAGCATATTTCGGACTCGGAAACGACGCAGGTACTCAATAGCAGCTTGCTCTGAGCGGTCTTCTATAAAACGCACGCTCATTAGCAGCAAACACCTTGTTGTTATGGCCCTCACTTTATTTTTACGCATGTCGGTCACCCATTCCAGCAGCTTGCAGTCGTAAACATCCATTGTTAGTACTCTAAAATTAAATAGTCATTTTCCCGTACTGTTTTTCAAGGTCTGGGAATTTTACTTTGAGCCCTCTGCGTCCGGGGAGGAGCACTCTACTGGTAGCACACGCTGCCTCGATTTCCTTGCAGCGTTTCGTCCATCGATATAGAGTCGTGCGGTCACATCCATGCTCTTCAGCAAGCTGCTTCGAAACTCCAGCGGTGCCGGCATCAATAATTGCCTGCAGGCGTTGCGCATTTGTGTGCTGTGCGTCGTGCATTTTCAAATACATAAATTAGTGGGAGCCCACACCAAAAAATAATTGCATAATAGTCACCAATTTCCAGAGCCATGTGACCACCATTTACCAAGTTCGACTTTTTACAAATCCTATTGTTGGAGTTTTTACATCGGTTGCAGGAATTCCGTGTTGTCCGGTACATAGTATAAGTATAAAATAGTTGCTGTGAAAATTAATTTTAATACATACGAAATAAACGTTACTTAAAAAAAAACTAGAATTCGCATGGACATGACATCCTCTTTCACCCCAGTGTTTTTTTAAAGTAAAGTTTATTTGTGTGATTATTGCATCGCTTATCATACTGGTATGAAAGGTTAGTGTCCGACTATTTTTGTCGATTTTCTCAGGGCAGACGTGAACCATGACCCCACCGGCGAAGACAAAGAAGAAGAAGAGCAAGGATGTGCGTCTACTGATATGATTCTTCATCAATGTATTTGTAAACTCACTGCCGACTAGAATCGCTACGTTTACATTACAGAACGTACCAGGGTGAGCTATTTCCGTTATCAGACGCAACACGCTGGCATTCTGACGTCACTAGTATTGCGTAGTATCTGCAACACGACATTCCTCCTATCGATACTGTTGTCGAGGAAGATAAACTGCAGAAGAAGCTCCTATTGGCCAGAGAGACTGGCAACTGGAAGCTGGAGGCTCAGTCGTTAATGCAGCTCGGTCAACTCATGAAGTGGCGAGGTCAAGAAGAGCAGGGTGACTTGTACCAGATCCAAGCGTCTTCTATCCTCCGAGTGCACACATTCGCCGAAGAAGACGAACACAGCGACTAAACCTATCAATTACTCCGTCTTGCAAACTGTCGTAGCTCTTGCATTGCGTTGGCGAAAAACTTGGTGTCTTCATGATACGCTCGCCGAGCGTTGGTACCCATAGCAGCTCGCTGCTCTGTCGTAGTTGATGTCATCATTTCTCTAACCACTTCGCAAACGCTGGGGCCTCGAAATGTTGCCACAAGTCCATCGACATCCTTTAATCCATGTTGTCCCCTATAGGCCCCACCCATTAGCATCTTAGGGTGTTTTCGACGCTCTACTGGGATCAAGAAACCCGTATCGTTCGTAATAAGCTCATTCATTGGAGACAAGTCGGTAGTGACAACGACAGCTCCAGCAGCACGCGCTTGGTTGATGTAGTGACCGTAACCTTCACTAACACTCGGACACATGAAGAACGTAGTGTCTGCTGTCAACTTGGTAAACTTTGAACGTTCAAGTAAACCAACGTGAATGCTGACGGGGCTGCGACTGAACTTGAGATACCGCTTAAACTTGGGCTTAAACAAGAGGTCGAATGGCTTGTCGTCGATATATACGTCGAGTTGAGGTAGTCCCGGTACGAATACCCAGCATTCCAACAGTTCTCTTGTGCCTTTCGCAGAGCTAGTTCCAGCTGTATGAATGAACTTGATGTCGGAGAAATCCTTGGGTCTAATAACCCGATCACCCATACGTTTGCGAGCGAAGTGTGCTTGGTCAGAAGACGTGTGCTTTGTGTAGAACACGGATGCGCCACGCGGGTTACCCTCTTGCTCGTACCAGCGCGTCACTCGATCGTAACATTCCTGTGTCTTGCACAGCACCACGTCCACTTTCCAATAATGTGCCGCAGTCAACTCATACATCTCAATGTTAGGCATCAGATAAACAGGTTTGTCCTTGGGCCAACGTGGCATCGATGGTACGTCGTCCCAGTAGTGGTTGAAAAAGATCATCGGAGTCTCAGGACACAAGTCGAAATAGTCAACTGCGTATCCTTGATAGGGATCATAAAGTTTAACTTCGAGAACCCATTTAGGCAACAAACGAGAGTTCAAGTCTAGAAGTAAGAAAACCAGTCAGTAACTTATCGCAAAAGGTATCAAATCCCAGCGTACTTACACTTAGCGTAAGCCACGGCATCTTCGCAATATCCATTGCCATGTAAATCCGACGGTAGGAAAATATCCACGTCGGGACATTTACGTAACTTTTCCAGTAGATCTGGGTCGTCCTGGCGCATTACAACTTCTGGATTGCTAGCTGTGGCGTTGGGTAGTTGATGCCCTGGACTGCCGAACTCCCAAGTCAGCGATCCGCTGGCGTCCGAGACACAATGTTCATGTAGGAGACTCAAGTGTAGTAAATCTTCGTCGGATACTTCGTTCGGATCCCCAGCATCAGCCGAAGGCTCATGGGCTTCGTCCTCGTCACCCCGACGCCACGATGTCGGGATACCAAAGGCTCTTTGCAAGCGAGAGCTACTGATCAGTTGACTCTTTGACGCCTCAAATAAAGAGGATGTTTGTAGTACGATAACGACGCCCCATAAGACCAAGAGAACCACGAAGAAGCGATATAATTTGAAGTTTCGAGCTCGCAGCGATTGCCGCGGTTTATTCATGGCGAAGCGGTCGTCCAAGCGTCCAACGGGAACTGAGGCGATTGAGCGGCAAGGCTCATTTTTTTTCGTGCTGGATGGTGACGTAAAGCACAATCAATGTTTGAAACATACAGTATGTTACATACAGATGCCACGACACACATCCCTCCCTTCTCTTCCACGATCACTGCAATTGTAAGCCTCGATATGACTTTTGATTTTCTACTGAGGAACTTGCAAACGGAGTCCTCCACCATCGGTAGTCTAACTTAGTATGAATTACGGCTCACTGTAAAGCACTTTAGCGAATTCGCTATCTACTCGCCGCTTTGCCCAATTAGTGAACTTTTCACTTAAGCAAAAGTATTCAAAGATTTTTTCACGTTCGTATTCAAGTAGAGCGGGGGTGTATTGCACGTGACGTGCCATCATCTTCACTTGCGGCGAAACCACAAACTTGGATAAGCTTTCGTGTCCTAACCTTTCGATGATTCGTCGCTGGGTTCTCGCATTTACTACTCATTGCTGCAAAATACAGCGCTCCAGCATCAGGTTCATAAAGCCTGCGACAAAAAATTCACAGCATTGGTATTATTTCTTGGCATATTCTCGTACTTCCTGCATTGCACTGGCAAAGTATTTCGTATCTGAATGGTATTGTCGACGGGCGTTCAGACCCATTTCAGCACGATCTCCAGGCGTGGTTAACCACATTAATCGGTGAACAGCTTGGCACACGTCGGAGCTTTCAAAGGCAGCCACAAGTCCTCCAAAACCTTTTAATCCATGCTCTCCTTTGTATTTGCCGCCTAGCACAACCATCGGATGCTTCTCACGTTTCACCGATACCAATATCCCCGACTCATTTGCTATAATCATCTCATTCATCGGAGGTACATCGTTGGTTATAACAACAGCGCCCGACGCTCGCGCCTGGTTGATAATGTGCCCATAGCCTTCACTATAGCTTGGGTTTACAATAAACGAGGCGTCTGCAACGACTTTGCTGTAATTCATGCGATTCATCATACCCAGGTGGATACTCACAGGACTGAGACTTCGCGCGATCTTCAGTTTGTATGAGGCCGGAAACAAGCGATAGAACGGCTTGCGGTCAATGTATACGTCGAGTGGCGGTAAACCTGCAGTGTACGTCCAGCACTCTAGAACTTCTCTTGTTCCTTTCGTAGTGCTGATACCTGCTGTATGCAGCATTTTGATTTCGGAGAAATCCTTATCTGCCACAGCGTATTCGCCCAAGCGCTTGCGGACGAATAAACCCGGATCTGTTGACGTGTGTTTTGTATAAAACACCTTGGCGTTGCGTGGATTGCCCTCTTGTTCGTACCATTTCGTCACTCGATCGTAGCATTCGTTTGTCTTGCATAGCACTGCATCAACTCCCCAGTAGTGCATTGGAGTTAGTTCAACTATTTCGATGTTGGGAACCATGTAAATGGGTTTTTCTTTCGGCCATCGTGGTGATACCGTCACTCCACCCCAATGATGATCCAGGAAAAGCATGGGTGTTTTAGGACACAAGTCGAAATAATCCACTTCACGCCCCAAATCAGTGTCAAAGAACTTGGTCTCTAGAATCCACCCAGGCAGCAGTCGAGATTCCAGATCTGGAACATCGAAAAACCGAGCAATTAATTTCTAAATCACCCAATACCACAATGGAAACCATACGTACATTTGACAAAGGCGACAGCGTCCTCGCAATAGCCGTTGGTATGCATGTTATGCGGCAGGTAAACGTCGACACTCGGACACTGACGAAGCTTCTGGAGTAGATCCTTGTCGTTCTTGTGCATCAGGACATGGGAGTTATTGGCTGTTCCTCCTACAGCTTGGTTTCCAGGTGAACCGAACTGCCATGGAACCGAAGTATTGGTGTCGGTAATGCACACTTCGTGTAGTAAACTTAGGTGCAGTAGGTCTTCATCTGGAACGACCTCGTCGGGCGATAAGTAGTAGCTGAAGCGGTGGCGCCATGTCAAGCCGATTGCGCGATGCAGACCGAGTAGTTTATCGCCCGGTGGTCCGAGCAGCGACGTTGTCTCCACAATTAGAGTAAAAAGTCCCACAGCCACAAGAGGCACGAGGAGCAGCAACGCCCAGCTCCGACGGCCGCGTGAAGGCTCCTCGCCTTCTGCACTCCACTTGACCATGACGGTAGCGAGATAACTGAAGCCACTCCACTTGGAAATCGACGACTGCAAATCCTCGCAAAGCTTCTTGTATGCATGGCTCAAAGTTGTCTGCGTCACTGGCTTTTGCGGTTTTGAGCATGTGCTCGTGGTTTGCCACCCCATGTGCTCCTGCTCACATGTCGATTCATTTGTCTGCAGCAATGGGCATAATTGACTTCACCTTTCGGTCGATAGTTGCCGAATATTAACCCCAGACATAATTACAGCACTTTATATAACCCTTCAATTATCTTCCGTTTCTTGCGAATTCCCGCAGCTCTTGCATCGTTTCCGCAAAGAATTTAGTATCCTCATGATATTGTCGACGTGCATTAGCTCCCATAGCTGCTCGCTGTTCAGGCGTCGTGGTTTTTATCATTGCCAAAACTGTATGGCATAAATGGTAGGGGGAAAACGCGGCAATGAGACCCTGGACGTTCTTCAATCCATGCCCTCCCTTGAAATTGCCACCCAGTAACATTCTATCATCATGTTGACGCCTCGCTTGAACCAAAACTCCCATTTCCCTCGAGTTAATGAGTTCGTTCATCGGAGCTGCGCCTGTCGTAACGACAACTGCTCCAGATGCTCGGGCTTGGTTAATATAGTGGCCGTATCCTTCACTTCTGCTTGGACACATAAAGAACGCAGCCTCTGCAGTAATTTTACTGAATTCAGAGCGCTCCACCATGCCCAAGTGGACGTTAACGGGGCTGCGACTATGATTGAGCTTGGTCTGGAATGGCGGAGGCATCATGTAGTTGTAGGCGCTCTCGTCGATATACACATCCAATGGCGGCAAACCTGCCATCGAAGTCCAGCATTCTAGTACCGCTCTAGTTCCCTTCCAAATACTGGTACCAGGTGTGTGTAGGAATTTTACGTTCGAGAAATTCTTCGGGGCGATGGCATCTTCACCCAGACGCTTACGAGCGAACTGCGCTTGGTCTGAAGACGTGTGTTTTGTATAGAATACCTCCGTGTTACGTGGATTGCCCTCTTGCTCGTACCACTTGGTCACTCGGTCGAAACAAATCTGCGTCTTGCACAAAACGACGTTCACCCTCCAGTAAAATTCTGGAGTCAACTCGATCATCTCGATGTTTGGCATCAAGTAGATCGGCTTGTTCTCGGGCCAGCGTGGCATGGACGGCACGTCGTCCCAGTAGTGATTAAAGAAGATCATCGGCGTCTTGGGACACAAGTCGAAGTAGTCCACCTCGCGTTGAAGCTCCGGGTCGTACATTTTAACTTGCAGTGCCCACATCGGCAGAAGTCTTGAGTTCAAATCTGCACAAAGAAATAATAAAATTAAGCGTCAGACTAGGAAATCAAACCGCAATTGTTGCTAAAACTCACACTTGGTGTACGCGACTGCATCCTCGCAGTATCCATTGCCGTGCAGATGGTTGGGCAGATAAATGTCCACGTCCGAACACTGCTTGAGCTTTTGCAGCAAATTCGAGTCATTCTGATGTATGACAACCTCCGGATTGCTAGCTGTAGTATTGGGTAATTGGTGGTTGGGACTGCCGAATTGCCAGGGCAAAATTGCATCCGTGTCGGCCACGCAGCGCTCGTGCAACAGGCTCAGATGCAAAAGGTCCTCGTCCGACACCTCGTCGTCTCCAGTGTCGGCTGCTGGTGTTGGTTCCGCTCCAAATCGCTGCAGTTCATTGCTGACCGGTTGCAATTCATTAACCGACTGCAATTCACTGTGGTTGTTGCTGCGATGGCGCCACGGGATCCGCTGGCTGATGGCACGTCGTAATCGTGCACTGGCAGTTAATTGCTCACCTGACCGCCCGAGAAGCGCTGAAATCTGCACGGCAAGAGTGAGGAAACCCAGCAGCACCAGGAAGACGAGAAAGCGATGCAGCCAATTCTGCCGGGCTGGCGACTTGGACTTGCCCATGGTTGATGCCAACGGGAACTGCGGTGCAGTGCAAATGAAACGGTGCACTGTTAAATGCTCTTGTGGTGAACTTTAACACAAGAGCATTTTCTCTCCAGCTGTGGAATTTTTAGATCCGCTTTTATCGTAACATTGTAAGATAAAAAGCAGATCTGAGAATCCTTACAGTTAAAGAACTCATAAAGTACATCTGGCGAGCATTTTATGTGACGTGGTACAATGCTTAGATGCACGCAAACGTTTATGAGATGCCTTCAGCACGGGAGCGAAATGATCGTCATCACTGAGCCGGACCACCTCGCCTCCTCATCTTTGTATTGACGATGAAGCAGGAGCCAGCGTCTCCGTCGTTACGCGGGTTCCTGGTCGCTCTCGTGGGGCTATGCGCATTGACTTTCTTGCTGGAGAATTCTCTACTCGGCGCCAGTGACGTTGACAATGGAGACGCGCTTTCAACGAACCTCGTCATCTCGGTTCATGAAGACGACGGGACTGTGTACAATCTGCCAGCGTGGGTGGAATCAGAAGACGACACTGAGGTTCCAATTGCGGACCGCTTGCATCTGAGTCTGCTGCACGAAGCTTGCGTCACGAACAAAGATGCAGTGGTGCCCTGGCAGTTCGGATCACCTCGTGGGGACCACCAACGGCAGAATGCAACAGCAGACAACGACTACGAGCTTATTAACTGCAACGACAGCAACTTAATCGAGACGCTAAAACACTGCCCCGACGTGGATATCTTCCTACCGCTCGGTCTGCGTGGGAACGGATACTGCGAGGATGCAGTAGCGTACGCCAAATGTACGTTCGCCTACTGTTTCTTTTTAATTCGAGGGCCCCATTCTGATGATGTTATCGTGTCTAGATCTTGACTCTCGACTGCTGCCGATGTGGGTTCTGGATACCAAGTTCTACGATGATACTCTTGGACGAGAAGTGGACTACCACGACTTGTGTCCTAAGACGCCGATGATTTTCTTTAACCACTATTGGGACGGCGTGCCGGACTCTCAGCGCTGGCCGAAGGACAAACCGCTCTACTTGATGCCGAATATCGAGATGATTGAGCTCACCCCTTCGCACTATTGGAGAGTCGACGCTGTACTATGCAAGACCCATGTTTGCTACGACCGAGTGACGCGCTGGTACGAGGAAAACGGCAATCCACGCAACGCCAGTGTATTCTTCACGAAACACACGTCGTCCGATCAGGCAGAGTTTGCAAAACAACGTCTAGGCAACGATTTGATCGCTCCGAAAGATTTCTCCAACGTCAAGTTTGTCCACACCGCTGGTACGAGCGTCTGGAAAGGCACGCGAGAGCTTGTGGACTGCTGGGTAATGTCATCGGGGATGCCTCAATTGGACGTCTATATCGACGATAGCTCGTACAATTTTCTATTCCCACAGACATACCAGCGCAGGTTAGACCGTGCTCGCAGTCCTGTCCACATCAATCGTGGCATGTTAGACCCTCAAGACTTCAGCAAGCTGACAGCCGAAGCTGCATTCTTCATGTGTCCAAGCCGAAGTGAAGGCTACGGTCACTACATTAACCAAGCGCGAGCTTCTGGCGGAGTAGTGATAACCACCGACGCACATCCGATGAACGAGTTGGTCGTCTCGAGTGACATGGGGGTGTTGATACCGACAAAATCTCAACATAATCCCAAGATGCTTCTTGGCGGCAAGTACAACGGTGAACATGGACTCAAAGACCCTGACGGGCTTTTGGTAAGGTATAACTCTCGTGGGTTGTGCACTGCAGTCCGGGACTTCATTTCATCCACAACCACTGAGCAGCGAGCAGCCATGGGAGCTCGAGCAAGGCAGCAGTACCATCAAGACACGAAACATTTTGCTAGATCGATGCAAAAGTTACGCGAGTTTACCCGAAACTAACTAAAAAAATATAACCCAGGTACATAGAAATATTGACGCTTTGGTGGCTAAAACTGTGTGCACCCTCAGCACTTGCTGGTGTATTTACTTAACTACGTTTTCTCTAATTTGCGTCTCGGCTACCCTGTAGTCGGTTCGTCGCGAATATACTTGCGAGGTGCACTGGAAATGATCTCCTCGCTATCTTCAGCGTGACTTTCACTGGCCTGTTGCCTTGCGAGGACACGTAAATCAATCATCGCGCGCTCGAAGAACTTGGTGTCTTTATGGTACTGTAACCGAGCATTCTCGCCCATTTCTCTTCGTTGCTCAATACTGATGTCGTTGAGTAAGCGCTCAACCGTTTTACACAAGTCATTTACGCTGAATTGAGCCACCATACCGGGAACATCTCGCAGTCCCAAACCCTTTTTACTCCGTCCGCCCAAGAAGATATTGCGATCGTGACGAGGTCTGGATGGTACTCTCAGTCCCATGTCGTCGTTCTCGATCAATTCTTTCATTGGATCCATATCGGTAGTGATAATAACGCCACCAGATGCACGAGCCTGGTTCATATAGTGACCATAACCTTCCATCTGACTGGGACACAGGAAATAGGAGCTTTCAGCGATGGCCTTACTGAATGTGTTGGCGTCTACCTCATCCGTTGTGAGTCTGATCTGGCTCTTGGGGATACGCTTATCGTACGCACCCTTAAACATTCCTTCGTAAGCCCAATTGTGAATATACAAATCCAGCGGAGGAAAGTGTGGTCGTGACAGCCAGCACTCGATCACCTGTCGCGTTCCTTTCCAGTAGCTGCCACCGACTGTGTGAATAAACTTGACGTCGCTGAAATTTTTGGGTTTTACTTCGTCTCCAAGAACACGTCGAGCGTAACTGGCTTGGTCTGACGATGTGTGTTTGGTATAAATTACCTTGGTATCATGCGGATTACCCTGTTGCTCATACCATTTATTCACACGCTCCCCACAGATGCGTGTCTTGCACAGAACTGCGTCCACTCGCCAGAAATGCGTCTCGTCCAGCTCCCACATCTCGATATTCGGCATCAGGTACATCTTTTTACCCCTGGGCCATCGCGGAGACGACGGGATATCTTCCCAGTAGTGCTGGAAGAACAGCATGGGCGTCATTGGACATAGATCAAAGTAGTCCACGTCACGACCAGACTCTGGATCGTGCATCTTCTTGGTCAACGCCCACAGCGGCAGCAGTCTCGTATTCAAGTACTTGGTATACGCCATTGTATCCTCGCAGTACCCGTTATTCCTCACTCCTGACGGCAAGAACAAGTCCACATCAGGGCATTGTTTCAATTTCTGTAGCAGATCTGGGTCGTCTTCGTTGATCAGCGTGGCCAGATTGTGCTCCTCGTCGTCCTGAAAAGGTCCTGGAGCTCCAAATTCCCAAGAAACAATCGCGTCTTTGTGTGTGACACACGCACCATGCAGCAGACTCAAGTGGTAGAGGTCTGCGGGCGCCACTTCCTCGCTGGCGTTGGTTCTGGACGCGTTCTGGAGCGCCAGCAGCTCTTCTAGCGAGACGGTGGCGTCCTGCTGCGTCTCTCCAGCTCTAGAGCCATTGGTAAGCTCTGCGTAATGCTGACGATGATGCAGCAGCTGCTGCGCGCTCAGCGACGTGTTAGAAGGCGCCACATGCCGCAATTTCGGATTGAAATCGAGTGTCGAGGCCTCCAGCGCCAGGGCGAGTAGACCTGTGACCAGCAGAAGCGCCAGAATACCGCGAATCCACGGGTTGGGCGCGGACCGAGTGTTGGTGGGCGAGTTATTGCTGCTCATCGTCCTGCCTGGGGACGTGGGGCGAGGCTCCATCGAGAGGGAGAGTGACGCTGGACACGAGGGATAGTCGAGCGGATTGTGGGCTCCGTGACTATCATGGTCTAAATCTCGCTGCACGGTTTCAGCCAAAAGTATCTGGTAAAGTTAAATGAATGGGACTCCCTTTACTGATGTCCCATAGAAATAATTACTGTGGATAAATTGCTGACAGGCACAAAACCAAGCCCTAAAAACACAGAATTAGCCTTAGGTGGGTACACAATTTGCTAAAACGGGGGACTGAACTTTGTGCACAAAGGTAAGTGGACATGAGACAGGACGAAGAGATATAATTTTGTGCATTGTTTGCGGCTAGAACTGTAGTTCCAGCAATAGTTGAGGATGATGTTGAAGGCGATGGATCATGCAGTCTTACATGTAATACACCAGGAGCTACTGTCCAACCACAACAGGCGAACGCTCTCCATTACCCTGGTTGTCCTAGTGGAGTTATCTTCACTCCTAAACCGGAGTTCAGTTTTTCACCGAAACGCACAAGTAGTGCATTGGCCAATTGTCTCGCGAGGCGTTTCAACTGGAAGTTAAAACCAACCCTTGAGTTAGCATGACCAACCCTTGAGTTAGCATGACCAACCCTTGAATTAGCTCAAACACGCTGCAATCTGGAATGCGATCTCTTCCTCAATGTAGTCATGTTTCAAAGCAACATCTGATTCCGTCTCCTATTCGTCCAAGTGTTTCTGATTCCGCCACAATACCAACTGTAGAGATGACCGCTCCGCCTCCACGAGCGCGCTCTGGCAGTGTGGGCTCCACGCGCCACAACTCTCTGCGCGTGTTGTTAGGCGTACTAGTAGCTCTGGTACTGGGCGCGCTTGCCTTCGAGCTTTCGTTCGTGTCCCCAGACTCCCTCACTGACCCAGAAGAGTATCAAGACGTTCTCCACGTACTGGACGCCGCAGCTGCAGCCGAAGACTCAGACAAGGCGCCACCCGCGGGTGCTGACGCCTTCTACCCAGACGCCGTGTTCGACACAGACTGGAGCCAGCGCATTAAGGAGAGCGACATCCTACACGAAGCGGCGCTGCATCGTGGCTGCGTCAAGCACAAGGCGAGCGTAATCTCGTGGAAGTTCGGCCAGACGGGAGAGAATGAGACTCAGAATCTGATGCAACTGATGAACGAGAGCGACCCGCAGCTGCTTCAGAAGTTGCGACAATGTCCAGACGTGGATATATTCCTTCCTGAAGGTTTGCGCTCCTTCGGATACTGTGAGGACGCTGCTGCGTACACGAAATGTACGCACTTTTATGAGGAATATTCTACTTGAGATTTTTTTACTAATTAGTTTGTGTAGTTTTAGAGGCCAGGATGTTGCCGCGTTGGGCATTGGAGCACAAATTTCAAGATGAAACCAGGAATCGCACCATCACATACCACGATTTGTGTCCAAATACCCCTATGATATTCTTTAATCACTATTGGGAGGAACTCCCCGATGCTCCGGACTGGCCAGCAGCTAAACCACTCTATTTGATGCCCAACATGGAGATGTACGAGCTCGAGAGCGAACACTATTGGAGAGCAGATGTGATTCTCTGCAAAACAGCGCTTTGTGCGAGATATTTACGAAAATGGTTCAAACAAGAGGGAAATCCCAGAGGAACCAGAGTACTGTACACCCGCCACACGACGTCAAACTTAGCGTTAACGTACAAGAGCCAATTAACGCCAAGCGAGAGAGAAGCGAGACCGGAGAAAAACTTTTCAGACGTGACGTTCCTCCACACAGCAGGCACGAGTATCCAAAAGGGAACGCGACAGGTGCTGGACTGTTGGTTGTCCAGACCCGATCTGCCTCGACTGGAGCTGCACATGGCTCAGGATCTTTTTGACGGTGCATTTAAAGCGAAGTATTCCAAGAGGATAGACAACAGCAAGAACGTAGCTCTACACACAGGACGACTGGAACCTGCTGAGTTCGGACGTCTTATCACCGATGCCGCATATTTCATGTGCCCGAGTTTACAGGAAGGTTACGGACACTACATCAACCAGGCGCGGTCTTCTCGTGCACTGATTTTTACGACGGATGTACCGCCGATGAACGAGTTGATCACTCCGTCGTCTGGTGCGCTGATCAGGGCGAGATCCATCGCACACGAGCCTCAGTTTTTAGGTGGAAAATCCAAGAAGGAGCACGCTCTGAGAGGCGTCCCTGGTTTCGTTGCTGACTTTGGTGGTCGCTCGGTATGTGATGCAGTGACGAAGATGTTGGAGACCACAACACCCGAAGAACGTGCCCAGCGCGCCGACAGGGCCTTGCAGCAATACTACTTTGACACAGTCTTCTTCGCTCAAAAAATGCAGGAACTCCGTGATTTTGCGCGTGCTCACAGCCATCTCGGCCGGTTGCACGGCACGTTGAGACGACACGGGGATACGCCTCAACCGGCCGAACAGTGAAGTGATAGAAAGCTGAGTGGTGTTGCGTGGGCAGGTTTTGGACATCTTGATAATAAGAAGACATTTTGACGTTGTAGCGGGCTGTGAACCTAAGACGATATTGGTGATAAAATACTCGGAAGAGTATTGCGGTGCGAGTTTCCCTGCTCCTCGACCGTGGACTCGGCGATGACGTACTGACACCTTCGCTGATGTTGGACTCTGTAAGAAATAATGGAATTTGCAGTGATTCCGTAAATCTGGCGCAGTTCTGCAAGACCTGACGCTTGTACGAACGTTATCATAGAATCTGGCGCAGGGGGTCACAACAGTAACCACAGCGGGCGTTCGTTATTTACCATCCATTTTCGTTTCGTCTCTCCGTTAATTTCGTCATGATCCGACGTGTGCGAATCTCAATCGGCAGCTTAGCACGACCGTCGCTACTGCATTTGCTGCTGTGTGTGCCATTAACCTTGACATTGTACGCGATAGCGACAGAATCGCTGAGTCTTAGGACGTTAAACCCAATTCAGCGCGTTCTCAACGCGGCGGGTATCGTTGCTCCGGTTCAAGACGACAAAGATTCCAAACCCAATTTGTACCCGGACACCGTATTTGAGACGGATTGGAGCCAGCGGATCAGTGCGGAGGAGATTCTCCATGAGGCGGCATTACATCGAGGGTGTGTTGCACGTAAGGACAGTATCATTCCCTGGACATTCGGACTACCGCGACAGAATGATAGCGATGAAATAGTGGAGCGAAATGACCCACAACTACTCGAGAAGTTGCGTCGCTGTCCCGATGTAGACGTGTTGGTTCCTGGAGGGATCCGCTCGTACGGATACTGTGAAGATGCGGCTGCATACACTAAGTGTACGTTTTAGAGTATTGTATAGAGCGGTGTTTAGAGATCACTAACTGTAATGGTTTATTGATACAGTCTTAGAGTCCAGGATGTTACCGCGCTGGGTAATGGAAGTGAAATTTCGGGACGAAGCGAGGAATCGATCGGTCGGATACCACGACTTGTGTCCGCATACACCTATGCTCTTCTTTAATCACTACTGGGAGGGACTAGTGGATGCACTCGACTGGCCCGAGACGAAGCCACTGTATTTGATGCCCAACATCGAAATGTACGAACTGAATCACAAACACTATTGGCGAGCCGATGTTATTCTCTGCAAAACGGCAGTATGCGCGAGGTATTTGAAGAAGTGGTTCCGTCAGGAAGGGAATCCTCGAAACACTCGCGTAATCTACACGCGCCATATGACTTCGAATCTTGCACTTATGTTACAGACTCAAAGGAATCTAACTGAGAAGGATTTTTCAGACGTTAAGTTCTTGCATACGGCAGGCACGAGTATCCAGAAAGGGACTCGTCAAGTGCTCGATTGTTGGCTATCTCGATCCGATTTCCCGCCACTTGACATCTACATGGGTCAAGGTCTGTACAATGGGGCATTCAAGAACTATCACCATCGAGTTGGCAACAGCACAAATGTCCGAGTGCACATGGGTGGGTTGTCTCCGGAAGAATTTGGACGAGTTATTACTCAAGGGCGGTACTTCTTGTGTCCCAGTTACATGGAAGGATACGGTCACTATATTAATCAAGCACGGTCCTCAAGAGCATTTATTTTCACGACGGACGTAGCACCGATGAATGAGCTGATCACACCATCGTCGGGTGCACTTATCCGAGCAAGAACTGGAGCCTACGGCGAGCAATTTCTCGGCGGTAAATCCACTAAGGAGCATGCGTTGCGTAATGTTCCTGGACTTGCTGCAAGTTTTACTGGTGATGATATTTGCAACGCAGTGCAGGGCGTCTTGGACAATACGACATCGGTAGAACGGGCCGGTCGAGCTGACAAAGCTCTGCAGCAATATTACTACGACACGGTCTTCTTTGCTCAGTCGATGCAAGAATTGAGGGGATACGCGCGTGAACGAAGCCATCCGGGACATTTACGTCATCGTGATGGCAAGTTGAAGTCCTGATATCATAGAACGAAGTTATACTACAAGGAATAATATATTTGATACATAGCCTTTGTTTCCTGACATTGACATTCGTATACTTCGAAAGGTGCAGCTTCCTAACTATTTTTTTTTATTTGCTATTCTTGACTGTCCGTGTCTGTCGCTTGGTAGACACACGACCAAAACTCTTCCATCATGGACATTATGATGCGTCTGAAAGGTGCTGGCTTCTCGGCCATCGCCAACGCATTTCGCGAGCGTGAGAAGAGACTTGGAGGAGGATTACCACTTCTCGATTTTGTGGAAATCGTGTTGCCCGGTTTACCACGG